GTATTCTGAATATATTAAAGTCTGAATATACTCATAGATTAGTGAAAATAGACAATTTTATTAACGATGGAAATAATTCAAACATTTTAAAACTTGTCTTCAACCTATAGTTTAGAACGTTTTTCTAAGATTTATTTAAAATTTTACTAACAATGCTAATTTGAAGTTAAATAAATAAATTACTAATAGAAATAGAATTATAGTGTTTCATCTTAGAAGGTAGTATAGCAATAAGATCAACTCATGCATTGGACATCGTCGCATGCGCAGGTAAGTCACTGCGCAGATCACGCTTACACCTCACGCCTACTAACCCAAGGTAAGTGCCTGAATTAGTAATAGAATTTAGAAACCACTGACAAATTTTATTTTATGTTAACATGTTTTACATGTTTATGACGTTCGGCGTTCTGATTCGCTGGTCCAAATAGCCAACCAATCAGAAATCTGAACGCTAACGTTACGATAGCGTTAACGTAAAATTAAATTTACGCTAAGCACCCAGAGTGCCTATTAAGGGTTTACCACCTATTCGATCAGCTTAACGATAATTACGCTTTGTAAAGTGTCAATGGGAATCCACACGTAAACTTCAGCCGTCGATGTTTATGTTTTGTTAGTGCTTTGTGTCTAGCTATTCTTTGTGTTTAAATCAATAAGGATAAGGGTATTGTTATTGATAACACATAATAATATAATAAGTATAAAGTTAAAGAGCTAAGAGATAAAATAAAAGACTTACTAGATGTACTTTCTTAGCACTTGGTGCAGTACATCTGATTGCTTCAATGGATCATTGTCCAATGAAATCGTGATAAAATGACAATATCGACACAAATGGTCGTTAATTAAGATTATACTATCGAATAGGTGACCAAACTCTCACTAGTGACTCACAGGAATTGAACCTTAATCATTAAGATATATTTTAACAAATTAAATAACAGCTTTTGACACCAAATGCAAACAAATACATAATTATTATCGTCCCTGAAAGTTATTTTACTTTGGACCAAAACACAATGTCTTATCAGGGTTTTGTTAGTCCAACTCACAGACTGTGAATTCAGATACAACAACAGCAACATAAAATTAGATATAGTGAAACAGGCCGAACTGGAACATTTAGATACATTGGCGTGATACAATTGTTAAATACTTAAATAATAAATCAAACACTAAAACAAATATACATATTAAGCGGTTCTGGAAGGATGTGGCGGGCTTGTCCCAAAAAAAATATTAATACGAAAATAAGTTAGATTACGTGTATGCGACGTCCAGTGTGAATGAACACATAAACACCAATAGGTATGTCAAATTTGCAACACCCCGTGTTTACGTTGTCCAGTTGGGAGATTTCGTTTATTAACGACGTGAATTTACTTTTTTGACCTTATTTCATTGTTTGTCTAGTAACATTGATATTCAATCAGTTGTATTAAAGAATACATAACAGATGCAGTGATTTTCATGTTCAATAAAGAAACATAGTTGTTAACCCGTCGAGCGTCCGCGTTCCTTATGATCCAACGGGTGCACACGTGACATTTGGAGCATTTTTTCTTATGATCCACCGGGTGCTCATAAGACGCTCGAGAGGTTAATAGATAATGTAATAAATAAATGTACGAGAACATTGTTGTATGCCGCTAGTTATAAAAGAAATTGTCGAAAGTTGAAAACGTATCTCCATTTACTAGTATTTCTGTATGGACTAAAATACTAACCGAACCACAAATCACGATGTGCGGAATGAGTCACTAACGCGTATTTTTTTTAACACTCGAAATAAATCTGGTGTAGTTAAACTACCTAAATTATTGGTTCAGATGTTCAACTGTAAAGAAACGACCTTCCAACACTTAAATTATACGTACACCTGTACAAGTACTAGTTATAAATTCATTACGTATTTTTATGTGAAATTACGAGTAACACACTTATACTTTATAAGTTTTATTATATGAGTTGCTATAAAGGTGGTCTCTCATTGCCAATCGTTAGAGACTACGTTCCAGTTCGATAGGTCATCAGTTCGTCACTATGCAACTCCCATTGACTATAGACTTTTGTCTTAAAACATTCAAGTACTTATGTTGGACGAGAAGACGTTGAAGACGTTCCAGGTTGTGAAATTGAGAGAGGAGCGCGGCTGCTTAAGGCTGTAGACTTCTGTTTCAAAGCACTCAAGTACATTGGACAAGAATATGTTGAGTAGTTCCGATAGTAAGTACCGAAGGTTGATGACAAATTGAGAGAGCTACACGAGAGCCTAAGTTTCGACGTAATTAATGGTCTTCTCATAGGCCCAGCGTAGTGGCAAGTTATATGCCTACTAAAAGTACCTTCAGTTTACTTAACTAGGTCGGTACTTCGTGACTTCGTTCAACAGGTGGTGTGAAGTTGACAAAACTTACAGTTCCTACCAGTAGTCCAATCAGCACGAGCCAAGCTCCAGCAACAGGTGGTACATTTTTATATGAACCAACGCCAATTTTATTATCCTATAAAAGCGAATGTACCTACGCTAGAAAGAGCAGTTGTTCATAGTATTTTTGTCTCTCTTTCGCTTTTCAGTCGTGGTCAAATTGAGTTATCTGTAAACACTTGTATGTAGGTACATAATGTACCATCTAAAAGGAAGCAGGGAAATCTTTCTATGTACTGGTTGATAATTAGTTTGCATTATAAATCTAATAACAATAGAAAATGTGTCTTATATCTAGTAAAATATGGTATTTAATAAATAAAGAATCTATTTTTAAATCACTGATCAATGCTAAAATTGACCACCTTGTACCTATGTGCTACAGGTCACATATATATTCTAGACTACAATTACAGTGAGTGTAGTTTTTCGGAATAACAATCATATTTCGTTTAAAGAAATCTTAAAGTCGTACAAACAGCCTTAAGTTTAAAGATAAGTTCAAATTTCAACTAAGAAACTATCATTTTGCTATTATTCAACCTCTATTGTATTTTCACGAAAAAAGTTTCAGAAATTTTTATGATTTACGGACTTGAGAATACTAAGTTAAAGCACCGTATACTAGACTAAACCACTTCGACTAGTCTCCATAACTCTAGAGCACATAAATTTATTATTTCTAAAACTACAATTAAATAACAAGAAGAATATAAAATATGGGAGAGCCATGCTTCGGCAAGAAGAATAAAAGACCGGTAACGCACTACGCCTCTGGTGTTCCGGGTGTCAATGGGCGACGCCGATTGCTTACCATCAGGTGATCCGTCTGCTCGTTTACCGGCTTATGCCATAAAAAATTACCTCTCATTACATAAAACGTTTGATATGTTTTCCGCCCTAACTATGTAGGAAATTTAGTGAATATCCGAAACAGTTTTCTAAAATATAAATAAGGTGGTTTGCAAAGTGTTCAATAATAGTAAATATAATACATTGCATGTCGACTGGATCAATACCAGATACGTAAAACCACAAAAAGGTAACAGCCCCGCTAATTGTTATACTGATTGAAAATCATTTTCCAATTTGTCAAAATATCTGCATTTCAATACGAATGAAGCATCCCTTTTGTGGTGTGCTTTTACAGCTCATAATCGAATATTTAATCACATATTTCGACAAAAATTTTAGTGCTCATGAAAGGCACTTTATTAAAATATTCATTACCGTTTCGAACTCATTAAATGTGCTGGAATTGTAATTTAAAATGAAACTCTGGCTTTTGAATATCCCGAAGTCAGTCATGCAACAAAATGGCGAATGCCTTTCGTTCGCTATACACAAACGCTTTGACGATGACATGATGTTGCAAAGCGTTTACGCGCATAATATTTTGTGACACAGTCGAAAAGTGTCAAATCCCTTTTTGTGAACCTACAGAGCGCCAATCAATATACTGTATGGCAGACTTTGTAGGTGTTCCAGCACTTTGATCACAGTGTTATCCTGTTTAGAGTGTTAAGGTGTTGGTCGCCTATGTTTTTCATACGCTGTGTTTCTAATTGGGTAGTTTTCAGGGTATCAAAATTTAAAATCTAATTAGTCTGTCAGTTAGATAATTAAAAAATATTAGTTACGTATTTTTTTTATTTTCTCGTATTAAGTTTTAATACTTAGATAAAATGACGTTAAGTTTAGGAGTGGGAGGTAGTGACGTCATAACGTGCTACAAAATGTTCAACGCTGTGACGTCACACAATATTTCAAATTAATATATAGACTAGAGTATTTAATTTAGTGAGAAAAGAAAAAATACGTGTCAAAAGCTTTAAATTAATGTACCAGACGACATTAAAATAAAATTTAGGAAACTACCCTATTATCCACTACCGTAGGATTATCTCATGAAGCAAATATTAATATAATACATTATTATGCAGCGTGCTTCACTTTCATATAGTAGATCTTATTGACTAAAGTTAGACATTTGGTACACGGCCACACATCAATCTATACAAAACCAGTTTACCCTGGTGTCGCGTCGATCATCTTTCGCACATTTAAGGTTCAGTTTATACTGGTTATGTAAAGCTCGATGTGTAGCCGTGTGAAAAACCGTAGGTATAGTTGTGAACACTAAAAAAATTTTGTGGTACTGGACAAAGGTGGTCAATATTTACGTGCAATGAATTAGATACTGAACCAAGGGAATGCTTTCCTTCAGTACCCAATCTTATTTATAGTATAAATAAGATACATTTACAAGATATTACGGTAGTATTCAGCCCGCGGTTTCACTATCCTTGTCTTGAGGTATTCGTAAAAGAATAACAAACATCTAAACATTCATAAACTTAAATTTGTTAAACTTTAACAACTTGTTTTATATGTCTTGTATTAGAGAGCAAAAGTAAATGAGTGAGATGGCAAATACTATAAAGATATAATCATAACATCACGCCTTTATCACCAAATGGGTAGGGAGAGGTGCAACATACGGCACTTCATGCCTGTAGGCCGCCGCCGGTCTCCGAAAAGGAGTTGAGCAGAGCATGTGAAACCGCGTGGAAGTAGCTAGTTAAGTATAATTTCTAACGGCACTCTCTTCAGATAGGAAATTTATTTATGTCCCTTCTCATTAATCATTGCATTTTTGGATCTGTAAGTATCGAAAAACGTTCTGTACTGCGGTACAGTCACGTGTATGGAGCCAGGCAGACCACAGCTAGTCAGTTCCAACTGCACCTCTTCAAGATCAAAGCCTTTGGCTTCACAAATATCTTCCAACATGACAGACCACACCATAAAAGTTTGTTCTGTTAAACTGAAAAGAAAAACATGATAACAACAATGCAGGCCCAAAATCGAACCCGCCCCTCACCCCATTCATACGCATATCCCCTAAAGGTCGGCAACGCATTTTTAAATCTTCTGATGTCCTTGGGCAGCGCCTATGCTTTCCTTGGGTCATCTACCTACCTATTTATAAAAAAATATATTTCGCAAAGGTTATGCAGATATAATGAAATGCACTTTATTAGTTCTGCCCCGAAAAAAATGTAAAATAAGATAATGATATTGGAAGCCTAATAAACATCGACATTTAGCTAGTAAAATAGGAATTTAAAACCCTTATAGGGTGAGTTTGCCTGTTCGCGTCTACTCACCAGTTTTCCTCCATGTTATGGAACGCCCTTTAAAAATTTCGAAAATAAATCATCAGCATACACGTAGTATTTACTACACATCTTTTTGACTCGACTTCGATCCGTATAATGGACGCACTGGTGGGTGGACACGAACACGCGATTTACCCTACCCATATTTTTGCCACATTATTCCGGTATCAGTCATAGTCAGTTTTCTGTCTTCCAAAATATTAGCTGCCGTAACCAATAATCGCTCTGGTACAGCGTGATTCGAGTTCCATCAGATTTGTGATTCATGAACTTGGAAAACGCAAAGAATTGATCTTCTAATGTAGGTACTTCGTCATCCATAATATTCTTGGAATGTTTCCTGAAAATAAAGCAATTGTTGTCATCTTATGTTCAAAAATGAATGTAAAATATTGGTTATAAAGTTCAAAACCCTTAGAAAAGTATTTTTGGTCTGTTCTCGTTCATTAAATATTATGAAGACTCGTTATTATATTTATTTAAAATTAAAACTCAATATTTTCAACTAAAAATATTATTTCTGAACAGTCTTAATGCATATGCATATTTATGTAACATGGTAATGAACTAATAAAAGCTTCATTAAACATTATATAAGATTTTATTATAAGAACCACATTAGAAGTCAGATTCTTAAAAGATTTTATCTTTAGCCAACTAACCGAACCAATCACCAGTTATTAAAAGTAACTGGCGACGCCTATTGCTTACCATCAGGTGATCCGCCTGCTCGCTTAATGGATTATCCCACAAAAAGAAGATGTTAGCAAACCCACTTTCATTCACTAATTTACAGTAGGCATATACCAAATATTGAGTACCCAGCATTCCAAAAACTAGTCTGCCATTGTTGAAGTTCCACCTTCTTTAGTATTGAATGCTTTGTCACCCAAACAATAGGCACATACAATAAAAAACACTTCAATCAGTTGCAGTATCTGCTCCGTACTATGTACAAAAGTACATTGCAATTTTAATAAGAGCTTATAAAAGGGCAGGGCCTGAATCAAAGTGGGTACTGTTGTATAAAACAAGTATGACATCGACGCAAGTAAACATTATCCATTACATAAGCAGCCAAAGCATTTATTACCTCGAAAAGTTGACATCAAGGTGTTTTTTACTCTTTAACAAACAACATGTACGCATATCAAACTATACATCACCAGCATATTATGGTTCCGCTTTGTATGATCTTTCGCACATTTAACGGTCAGTTTATATTGGTTTTGATAGCTTGATGTGGACGTTGAAATGTCAAAGGGGAATAATTTTTGCTATTTTGTTTGACCGTCTCTATTTGTTCCTGTGTCCTGCCTGCATCAGATGCTTTCATTTGTTCCATTTTATTAACGTTTTCGTCAGATGTTTTATTTACTAGCGTTCAGTGTTGCGTAAGTCGCCTGCATTCTACGGTCAACACAGGAAAGAACATCACCTGAAGCCAAAATATCTAGGGGTTTTATTTTTTAATCTTTACACAAGCAGTTGCAGGTTTTTCAAATTGATCAGGTAGTTTAGTAGCCTAATCAATTCAAACAAACAAAAAATCAAATCTTTCCTCTTTAAAATATTAGTGTAGATTACATGAGGTTCATAACTTATCCGGTGAAGGTATTACCTGTACGGAAAATATGGAAAAAATTTACATATTTTCAGTAGACAATACTAATTAAAAAATATTTCATTAGTGATGGTAGCTCCGGGTCATATACAATGCTAAACAAATCTACCGAATGTCCATAAATAAATGGTTTTCAATACGAAGTCAAATACAAAAGAACATCCTGTAAAATTTAAATTAAAACGCTAGTTTTAATTAAAATTTATAATTAAGCTTGCATCGGCTTTGTACGGGTATAAATTACATCTCAATTTTCCCGATGAGCTTTGTATTTTTTTTTTCATTTATATAAATGCTGTTCTCATATATACCTAAATACCGTATTCATTTTACCAGCTGGAAATGAGAACACCATTGTTAACAATTTGTAATTACTTTTGTATTTTAAATTATAATGCTTCGTGAGATATGTGGTGTATAGTATTTTTATGCTACAATACTGTATTTTTTATCTTTTGTTATTTAGCTTGAAATGTTTTAATTAAATGTATTGTTAGTTATCAATATACGTGGGGTTGTGGCTTTCTTTTAGAATGTCTGCCGTAAAAAACTAACAAAGAACTAGGTACATATTTATATTGCACTTTTCCCTAGACCAGGGTTTCGCAAATTGGTCGTAAATCCCAACCTAATGGTAGGTAGCAAGCGAATTTTTAGTGGACCTTGTAGAATCACACAGTATATCACATAGTCTATTCATATTGATAACGGTTTAACACATAAAATCACGCCTTTTATCCCCGAAGGGGTAGTCAGAGGCCACTGTACAATGTAACACCCACTTTCCACTATTTGTGTTATGAGTCCCATGTAATAGGGGGTGAACCTATTGCCATATACCGGGCACAATTCCAGACTCCGTGCTACTACTGAGATTTTTTTAAAACCCAGTAATACTTTGCCCGACCCGGGAATCGAACCCAAGACCCCTTGCCCGGCAGTCGCACTTGCGACCACTCGGCCAACGAGGCAGGCAGAGCAGATAACGCTTTAATTTCCAAAAAATGCGCCCTGAATTTGGTAACTTGATTTAGATAGGTCGGGTAGGTCTAGACAACTTTGGGTACCACTGGCCTAGAAACTATTCTGAATGGTTTAACCTTACTTTTCTGAGATCGAAGCACGAAGTATTAACAGTAGTTCGACAAAAAACATGATATCTAATTTTAATCATAAAGAACGCCTTAGTAACCAACTGAGTTGTTAAATAATTGATTTTAATTAGCCCAGTACATAACAAATTCCGACAGTTTTCGTTTAAGACATTACGTTTATTAGGACTCGGGTATTTTTAAGCACAAACTTTAGACGATTGTTGAAACCTGTTCTGGAATTTGTTTACTTGCTTCTTATCCTGTTTCCTTAACTTGAACTTTTGAAGTTAACAATAACAAATCAACTTGGAAATAACTCATTCGGATTCTTTTTACCGCTCCTCTGAGTGACATTTTAGTTCGTACTTCTTTCGCTTCCTAGAGGTATATAATTATCATCAATCTTTAATATTTTGCTGTCAAGTCGGTAATATTATCTTATATAACTGTCTATAAGTGGCCAATGCTGACCAAAGGCATCTTCTCGCACGGAGAAGGTAGGAGCATTAATCATTACGCTTACTCAATGTGTGTCAGAAGTATCGAAATAATCTTAGAATGTAGGTGCATACCTATGCACCTACATTCTAATATAATAATTATAACTCGGAAAAAGACGTATTGGTAATTTCCGCAGATAGGTTTCCCCTTATGCAGGAGAGGCGTAGAAAAAGAATCAGCAAGAAAAGCGTACTCCCTTTTAAAAGGCCGGCAACGCACCTGTGACTTCTCTGGTGTTGCGGGTGTCCATGGGCGGCACTGATCGCTTACCATCAGGTGATCCGTCGGCTCGTTTGCCTCCTATTCCATAAAAAGGGCCGGCATTATAAACCTCTGAGTCACCACGACATTATACCCAAGGATATATCCTGGTATACCTTATACCTTAGTCGAATGTTTTCGATCGATATATGTCAGCATAGTCCATAACGTCACTCTTTTTACTCCTCTAACGCCTGAATACTGAAGGGGTACTTACTTAATTTTAGGCTGAACTTAACTATCGCCGTCTCTGTCATTTTACAAAGAGTTTGTCGTGACAGAAATATACTTAACTGAGTACTTACTTGAGTATATCGGTATATCTGTGTCAAATATTGTCCAGTAGTCGGCTTCTACGCTACCCACGGAATGAGTGGTCACCGGTGACCGCTTGGGCATATATGGTGGTAAAACCCATATATGCCCAAGCGGTCACCGGTGACCGCTCCCCACTAACTACATTATAGACCTTATTTCCAATGTATAGATACTACTTTTGTATGAACAAATTAAGGGGTATTATTCTTTTCTTCTATACTTAAGTGCGTCTTAAAATTGAGTGTTGTTTGAGTATTTGAACATGAATAAAGTGCACATAAACAATGTAACATCCACTTTTCATCACTTACTATGCATAAAGTGCTCTTTATGAAATTTTTACCTACCTAGATATCTTTTGTAAATTCCGTATCCTTTGAAAGTGACTCTAGCTTCTTTTTTTTTAATTTTTTCTCTTGGTTATGATCCGCGCTGTATTATATATTCTTAAAACATCGTCATTTTTTACTCTCTTTTGGTTCATGACCAACCTGTTACTCAACATGTACTCAATTGATATGAATCTAAACTTACAAAAAGTAAATTAAACCTCTTTTTTAGATATATATAATAACCTTTTTAGGACATCAAAACTTTTCGTGCTTAGCAACGCCTAATTGTTAATGGTAACCATAGCAACGATTGTAGTCGTCAAAACAGAAAGTCGAAGGGTTGTCAGTGTGAACCCTAACTTTTGGAAAATTCTTTAATGAATTTTTGGTGGTAATTGGTTTATTCTGACTTTTACAATAAATTGCCTAATTGCTTTTTACACGTGACACCTTTTTAAAACTTTTGCTTGAAGATTTGTAGAGTAAGATAAACGTGACCAGGTTCATACTGGATCTTTCATTGGAAAAAAACTTAACATAACATAGCATCACGCCTTTTATCTCCGAAGGGGTAGGCAGAGGTGCACATTATACCACTCTACAATGTAACACCCACTTTTCACTATTTATGTTATGAGTCCCATGTAATAGGGGGCGAGCCTATTGCCATATACCGGGCACAATTCCGGAGTCCGTGCTACTACTGAGAATATTTAAAAACCCAGCCCGGCAGTCGCACTTACGACCACTCGGCCAACGAGGCAGTCAGTGGAAAAAACTTACCTTTTCAAATGTCATTCTTCTCAATTATTAGTATCTTTGCACTCCATAATAATGCTACAAAAATACACATTGTCTAGTATTACAAAATA